TGCACGGGCATGAGAAAATGGTAGGATTCAGTACTAGATAGTCATTCTGCTTACTCATAAAAAATAGCTGATAAATAGATTTTTCTTGTTAAATCCAGTGTTCTATGGCAAATAAAGGTTTTGATCATTTTTCACAAGAATCTTTATTGGTGAATTTTTTCGGTCTTCCATTTTTACTTTGCTAATAATTAATTGTTAAGGTTATTATGTTATACATTATAGCTTGATTTTGAGCTCATTCTTTTTTATTAGTTACTTTGCTGCAATTGGCACTAGGCATTTGTCAAATGACTGTAAAAGTAGAACATACATGTTAAAAACATATTCTTGTGGAAGTTACTTGGTATCTTATATAGGGTCCATGAGGTAATTTACTTCTTGTTTTGTTTTAAAGGGGGGGTCGATTTTTTATGATTACATCTATTGTACTTCAGTGCACCATTTTCTGGAACGTTTTAGTATAATCTTATAACAGAAAAAGGTGAAATAACCCTATGTTTGTGAAATAACACTTTTTAGAAACATTTAGAAACAAGCTGGAGAAGATTCCTGATAATCTTGTCGTTGTTGGTTCTCACTCTTAGAATGATATTCGTAAAGAAAAGGTAGTGATGTTTTGATAAATTCTTGGCCACTGTTTTGTTGTTTGGATAAATTCTTGGTATTATGTTTTTAGATTATTGAAATAAAAAGGGTATTTCCGATTTTATCTTTTTTAGAGCAGAGCTTAGGGCTACAAACTTTTTTTATTTTCACACCGGAAGCTCTTACCTGCAGGGGAGATTGCGGAATATACACTATCAAGTTTATAGAAATTTTATCGGCCGGATCAGACGTGAAACTTATGTTTGATGATATGATTGAATGTTGGAGGAAAAGACTAGCAACTGAAGTTTTTGCTGTGCATTTTGTTCCATAATTGTTCTTTGTATGTTTTTCAATTTTACGTGGTTGGAGGATATAGAAATTAGATGCTAATTTTGTGTAGATGGTAGTGTTTTGTATGATTTAGATAGAAAACAAGTTTATGGATGCTGATTTTGTCTAGTTAGTGTTGATTTTTATGGTTGATTGCTATGTTTTCCATTATATGAATGTTTTATTCAAACATAAGAGCAATCAGAGTTGAAACGGAATTGTAGTTTTTATGACAACTTGTATATTTATGCGATAAAAAATAAATTGTATCATTAACTACGCAAATTCACCCAGATTGGAAAACGACAGTTATACATATAAAATGACAACATGCCGTTTTGGGTGACGAGGTCTCGTTTTCACTGCGAAACAAGTTTTGGAATATTATAGATGAGTTGTCCAAGTTGAATGAGCGAAAATGATACGCACTGAACAATGAATTAGAAAAAAATGTAGTCATACGATTAAAACATTCATTCACCTTTTTAGATGATGGGTGGATTTTAGTAGGAGACGTACTATGTTTTGTATATTCTAAACGACAGTCATACTTGTAAAATAATATGTCATTTTGGGTAATAAGGTCTCGATTTCATTTGTACATATTCAATGATTATGTGTGCTATATTTTTGTATGCTCTATCCCCTAAATGGCACCTCTATATGTAAAATGATAACACGCCGTTTTGGATGAAGGGGTCTCAAATTTACTCCAAAACTAGTAAAACGGTGTTTCGAACATCATATAAGACTTGTACGATTAAATATCGTTTTGGATCATGGGGTATCGATTTCATTCTGAACTTTCATCCCCAAACTTTCACGTGGTTACGAACGTAAATGAATCGAAACGAGCACTAAATGAGGATAAACGTCAATTATATGTTTAAAACGATTAGATGTCGTATTGGGTCAGGGGTATCGATTTCACTCTGAAAACTAGTAAAACATGTTTTGAAACATTATACATGACTCGTATACATTGAACGACAACATGTGCTATGTTTTCGATATCATACTTGCTACTTACGTTTTTCTTTATTGTTAAGTGTAATGTAGTTTCCTACTAGATTATAGAGTAACTTACTATAATTTAAACAAATGTATCAATAGCAATGTCGAAATATAGTTAAAACTTTCATCTCTAAACTTTCACGTGGATACTGACGTGAATGAATCGAAATGAACACTACATAAGTAGAAATGTCGCCATACGCTTAAAACGATTGGATGCCATTTTAGATCATGGGGTATCGATTTCAGTCCAAAACTACTAAAATATGCTTTGAAACATCATACATTACTCAAAAATATTTTAGAAGACTTGTACATGTTGAACTAGCTAATTTGTCGAGTATCTTATCTCATAATTAGAATATAATGAAATTAATTGTACTTACTTACATTTATTCGTAGTGAAGTGGAATATAAATTACTTACAGAACAATAGTGTTGATCATTATCGGATGAACTTTGTATGTAATTTGCTGTTCAAATATGGTAAAAACTTGAATTCATTTAATTTTTATATAAATATAAGTGAATACAAAGTAAAATGAATACAAAACTAGTTGAAATGGCAACTGGCCATTTAAAATGTCAACATGACATTTTGGGTCACAGGGTCTCGATTTCAATTTAAAACCATTCGATCATATTTTTGAACATCTTAAAAGACTTGTATAAATTAAGCAAACTAATTTTTTGAGTATCTTATCTATAATCAAAGTATAATAGAATTTAAGATACTTACCTTCATTCATAGTGAAGACTAGAATAGTTTATTTATGGAAAATGTTGTTGATCACTATCGGGTGAACTTTTTTTTATCGATCTTGGATGTTTAATGTTACTTATCGATTTTACTCTAAATGTAATAAAAAAATTTCTACTTTCATTTTCATGTGGGTACAAGAGAATATAGAGTGAAACAAATACAAAATTAGATGTTTAATGTTATTTATCGATTTTACCCTAAAAAGGCATGTTGAACAATTATATATTTTCTGTTTTGCAAACCCTACACCCTAAAACCTAAACCATAAATGGCAATCCTTCGTTTAAAATGAACAGATGCCGTTTGGAGTCAAGGAGTATCAATTTCACACCGAAACTAATAAAACAGTGTTTGAAACATCATACATGACTCGTACATATTGAATGACTACATGTGCTATATTTTGGATATCATACTGGCTATTTACCTTTTTTTATTGTCAAGTGTAGTGTAGTTACTTACGGAACAATAGTGTTGATCACTATCATATGAACTTTGTATCTAACTTCTTGTTCAAATATAGTAAAAATTTGAAATCATTTAATTTTTATATAAATATAAGTGAATATAAAGTGAAATGCATGCAAAACTAGTTGAAATGACAACTAGCCATTTAAAATATTAGTATGTCATTTTGGGTTACAGAGTATCGACTTTACTTTAAACCTATTCGATCATATTTTTGAAAATCTTAAAAAATTTATACAAATTAAACAAACTAATTTTTTGAGTATCATATTTATAATTGAAATATAATAGAATTTAGGATACTTACCTTCATTCACAGTGAAAACTAGTATAGTTTACTCATAGAACAATATTATTGATCACTATCGGGCGAATTTTTTTTATCGATCTTGGTATCGAAAATGCAGTGAAACTTGCCTCGCTTATTTTTATATGGATATGAGTGAACGTAAAATGACACAAACAAAAAAAGTTGCAGTACCCAACCTTTTAAAATGACAGCATGCCGTTTTGGATTATGAAGTCTCGACTTCACTCCAAAATTAAATGATCATGTCTTGAAACATTTTACAAGAGTTGCACATGTTAAACGAGTTTGTTTGTTAGGTATCTTATCTCTTAATTGATATATAATGGAATTTGGGTTACTTACTTTCATTTATAGTGAAGTCTAGAGTAGTTTACTCACGAAAGAATATTATTCATTACTATTGGATGAACTTTTATATCGACCTTGATATTCAAACGTAGTAAAAACTTGATTTCGATCATTTTTGTATAGATACGAGTAAACATAAATTGAAACAAATATAAAAATAGTTGAAACGACATTCAACCATTTAAAATGACAACATGTCATTATGGGTTACGAAGTTTAGATTTCACTCCAAAATTAGTCAATCTTATCTTAAAATATCTTAGAAAACTTATACAAGTTAAACAAGTTAATTTGTTCAGTATTTTATCTCATAATTGGAATATAATAGAATTTGAATTACTTAGTTTCGTTCGTAGTTAGTGTACTTACCTAATAATAGTATTAGTCATTATCGTATGAACTTTGTATCAACACTGTTGTTCAAATGCAATGAAAATTTGCATTCACTCATTTTCACGTATATATGAGTGAAAATAATGTGATAATGATAAGAAATCAGTTTAAACGACACCCAATCATTTAAAACGGCAACTTGCCATTTTGGTAGCAGGTCTCGATTTTACTCAATATAGTTAAAAAATTTCTACTTTCATTTTCATGCGTGTATGAGAGAATATAAAGTAAAACAAATACAGAATTAGTTAAAATGTCACCAAATCGTTTATAATGATATCATGTCACTTTGGTTATGAATTTTGAATTTCACTCAAGATATAGTTAAAACACATTTTTATTATTTTTTATGTGAATAAGAGGGAACATAAAGTGAAACGAATACAAAATTTGTTTAAAATCGCACTCAGTCGTTTAATAAGGCAGCATGCCATTTTGCCGTTGATTTTAAATTGGGTATGGAAAGTGAGAATGAAAGTGGGAATTTATGTTACGGGATTTTGTTAAATTTTGGTTTGAAATGGGACATTTTAGACATTTCAAATGAAGGGTACTTATGACTTTTAATACATGATATAATAGACTAAAGATTATTTTATCAAACATCATTGATATAGACTATTTTACTAAACATTATTGTTGATTAGACTTTTTAAACAAATCCCCCTTATTAATATAAGTAAAAATCCATAAAAAATAATAAAAATTATGACCAATTTGGTTCTACTTGACCTTTTCCACTTGAACCCGCCCATCATTCCACTGTAGTGTAGTTTGTATGCACGTATGACGTATGGGGTCGTCCAAGTCGACGCATTTCACCATCTTCTACAAAATTCGTTTCTCTCCGCCTCGTCGCTTCATCAACTTCAAAGGGTTCTCCCCAGAAGCATCCCGTTTGCCCTTATAATAGAAAAGAGAGCAGGAACAAGACCTCTCTGCGCTTCGCCAACAGCAGCACTGAAAATGGTCAAAGCAATTAGGGTCCACGAACATGGTGGCCCTGAGGTATTCCATTTTTTCCCTCATTTTGTGTTAATTTTGTAGAGTTTTTTTATTGCGTATGTGATTGAGAAATATTGGAATTTTGGGTTTGTTATATTATGCATCGAACATTGATCCTTTTGATGATAGGTCCTAAAATGGGAGGATGTGGAAATAGGGGAGCCCAAGGATGGAGAAATCAGAGTGAAAAATAAGGCCATTGGGCTTAATTTTATTGATGTATATTTTCGGAAAGGGGTTTACAAGGCTTCTGCAATGCCCTTTACACCAGGTTCGATTTTGTTTACTTTCTTTTTCAGTCATGTGCTGATGTGAAATTCTTGTACTGCAGTGCCCTTGGCATGGTAATTGTTGATGATGATTTATTGTAAATACTCCTGAATTTTGTTATATTGAAAATTAGTATTTCGTTGACTTTTGCATACGCCTCTGCTGAACGCATCAGAGAAATTCACTGACAGCTCTTCATATGAAACTGGAAAATCAATTCTCTGTGTTGGTAATTTGACGGGTTTTCATGGTATAGCCTTACCTGAACTGGTAATCAGTACAATTTGTGTTGGTAATTTGACGGGTTTTCATCGTATAGCCTTACCTGAACTTGTAATCAGTACAATCTGGAAAGTTTTTTTACTTTCAGCATCCTTAATTATCTGTTAAGTGCTTGATGTTAGTTCTCTTTGAATTTGTTATTATATCAATACCGTTTGTATGCATTATCAAGTCAAAACCAAGGGTTCAAAGCTAATTAAATATCAACAAACTGAAATGATATGTTATGTATTTTAGTTTTACAGCATATTGCATCTACTCTTTAACGCATGGTTCTCTTTGTTAATGCATTCTTTATCACTATAAGGAACTAAAAGGTGTAATTTGCATGATGACTAGAAGTCGGTATAAAATTTCGATGCAGGTATGGAGGCAGCTGGTGTGGTAACAGCAGTAGGTCCTGGATTAACTGGAAGAAAAGTTGGAGATCTTGTTGCTTATGCTGGTAATCCAATGGGTGCATACACTGAAGAGCAGATCCTTCCTGCAGAAAAAGTGGTTCCTATTCCTCCTTCTATTGATCCTACCATAGCAGCATCTATCATGCTTAAGGGAATGACCGCCCAATTCTTACTTCGCCGCTGCTTCCAAGTAAGTCTTAAAATATGTCATTACATCCACAATTTTCCCTTTTCGTCCAGGACTTGTTGGTCAGGAGGGCATATTGTTACTGCCACTTATTAGAGTGCGTACCAAATATTTATGTATCAATGTATAGCAGCTTTATATTTCATCTCTCGATGCACAGCTATTAATTCTATGGACCTGTTGAATTATAATCATTATCGTGATGAGACTTTTACATTATGGCCAATATCATTATTATCCTAGTTATTTATTTTTACAAGGATCCTGCAATTTTGATGCGGACACGTGGCTGTAAAGGACAACTGTGATACCAGGTTTCCTTCATGATGCAATTTTTTGTTCAATGAGATTGATTTCTGCAACAAATACTGTGTTTTGACTTCTGAAGATCAAGTAGAACCACTTTCTTTTGCTTAATCGTCTATCTAATATTAAACTAACACATTAGTTAGTTACTGAATCAAACCTTCTCATTGCTCACATTTTTTGGCTTACTCTTTCACTTGAATTTACAAATCCGGCTCGCTCCCGGTTACATGCCCTTTGACCTTCATGCGCTTAGAAGTTGATTCGATCCACTGGCACAAGGATTCTAGACATTTGCTCGAACCAGTACATTACAATTTTTCTCCTACTCTTCATGTCTCTATTTTGTAATAGTGTTATGATGGAAAAAGTGTGGTTAAAAAAATGGGAAAACTTTGGGGTTTGCGTGTAATATTATTGTATTAAAGAATGCGTGGTTGTAATGAGGTCAAATCACTGTTGAAGAATACATTTTGATGGAAAAAATGGGGCTCAAACAAGGGCTAAGTAAATAACATCTATAAACTGTGCCAAATTCATGAGAATGTCAATAAATCCCCAGGAGAGAATAGTGTGAAGAAAGAAAATAAACAAAGTGACCATGATGAAATGTACTTGCTTTTAGTGGTGGTATTTCGAAGTAGAAATATGTGGGAATTACAAACTTTATGAGAACTGTCACAGATTATATTACTTGGTACTGCTTTTCTTCTGTTTTCATTTTCTTTTTCTTCGTCTTTTTGTAGATTTTTGTTTAATATTATACTAGGATTCCACGTTTTTCTTTTTCATCTTATTGTTTATATGATGAACAAGTTTAGGCGTATTATTTTATTTACCTTCAAAATTTGACCAAATCGTATTGCGGTACAGGTTAAACCAGGACACACGGTCCTTGTTCAGGCAGCAGCAGGTGGAGTTGGATCTATGCTTTGCCAATGGGCAAAGGCCCTTGGTGCCACGGTCATTGGAACTGTCTCAACTAAAGAGAAGGCAGCTCAAGCCAAAGATGACGGTTGTCACCATGTCATAATATACAAGGAAGAAGATTTCGTAACCCGGGTAAACGAGATAACATCTGGAGAAGGAGTTGATGTTGTCTATGATTCAGTTGGAAAAGACACCTTTGAGGTAGGTAGGTAGGTAGGTATGTATGTATGTGTGTGTGTATGTATGTATGATTTACTAACCAAATATTGATTTGCAATTACTGACAAAATTGAAGTCTCTCCAGCAATGTTTTGATAACCATCTCTGAACTAGCTTGATCAACCAAGGTCATGCATACCTGTATCTTCATTGTCAAGCTGGTTCTTTGATAATTTTTTCACTGAAAACTAGCAAACAAAAAATATCATTTTTCTGACTTACTCATTGCAGAGCAGATGCATAGAAATTATGCCTGAATTTGATCTAATGCACTTCCAATTCTTTTTCTCCATCTTTAACTGGGAATTATGTGACTAGGGATCCTTGGCATGCTTAAAGCTCCGGGGATGCATGGTGAATTTTGGGCAGTCATCTGGTACACCAGACCCAGTCCCATTGTCAGCTCTTTCGGTAAAATCTCTGTTCTTGACAAGGCCTAGCTTGATGCAATATACCGCGACTCGGGAAGAATTGCTGGAAACTGCTGGAGAGTTATTTGCTAATATTGCATCTGGTGTTCTGAAGGTCCGTGTAAATCATACATACTCTTTATCACAGGCAGCACAAGCACATGCTGATCTCGAGAGTCGAAAAACATCTGGATCTGTTGTACTCATACCAGATGGATGTTGAGTATCTTATTTATTCAAGGAGCAAGTGAATGTGATGCTCCTTTCTGTTTCTTGACTAAAAGTTCATGTTTTATAATCTGTTGCGTTGCTATCTGCTTTTGAATATTTCTCATTTACGAGTTTGATCTTTGACTGGGACTAGATTGTGTAATAAAAACAAGATGAGTAAAACTAGTTCTCGATGGAAAGAGCTGCTGAATTCAAAATGTTTTTGTAATGTTTGCTGAATATCCTTCGTTTATTGATAAAAGATCTTTGGATATGACTTAATAGAGTATTTATACCCAAGTAGTTCATTGCATTGCATGATACACAGATGTTGCAAGGCTCAGCGCCCATAATATAAAGTTCGTTTAATTTATTCTGCTTATGCTCGGGAATAGGTGGATAATTGAGTCAGTTAATTGGTCTTTTTGCTGTTGAATCTTGGGCAATTCAACTTCATAGGCCTTGTTTCAGCGGATTTGTCCTCAAGGTTGTGCAGCCAGAATGGATTATTGAGATTCGGATTAATGAGTTAAAGTTTCTTGAAATAGTTGGTACTGCATCAGCAAATTCTTGTTAAAACTAAAAAGCAAAGTCGCAATTGTCAACTTCTGTAAGAGGGTTAAAAATCTGTGTAAAATGTTTCACATTGACTATTGAACTTCGATATTTTGTTCGACTAGTCATTGAATTTTTCAAAATATTTTTCATCCATCATTCCATTAGTCACCATTTTAGAAATTGATGGAAGTGCTAAAGTGACTAACGAAAACACTAATGTGGCACATTATTGCCATTAGTTGATGCCTTGTCAGCAAAAAAATGACTCCCATCATTTAAAGTCATGTAAACCAACCCCTCCCCACAAAGAAGAAGATAAATGAAATGTATAAATAAACAAAAGAAAAGGGTGAAACGTTATAAACAACCGGCCTCACTTTCTTCATAGCACAGGTGGTCTTTCTTTGGAGAATAAGTCCACATTTGTCTTTCATTTTTTCAAAACTCTTTTTTCTACATACTTATTTTTAACCACACATTACATTTTCACCCGATATTCTTAAAAATTCACTATTCAAAACATTGTTTTCCAAAAAAAAAAAAAAGCCACCAAACAAGGGCTAAAAAGCCTTACTCCCTATCTCCTCCGACAAGGGTGCCTAAACAATGTCGGACAGAGACAGACAAAATGGAGATAATAAACCCTAATCTCCCTAGGGACTGAATAGGATGTTTGTTGTTCAATAGAAGTTTTTTTTTGCTTGATTTGCATAAATAAACTACAGCTTATGAACTTCACCTGTTTGATAAAGACCCCGTGATTTCCAATGTAATAATTTTGGGAAGCTTATTTTCATCCACCGTCTTTATTTATCTATTCACTTTTAAATTTTATTTTATATTACATTTGTAATCTTACTAAAATTTTCTTAAATTGACAAGAATAAAACCAAATAAAATCATCCACTAATATTTATCCTCGTTAATACTTTTGAACCTTTTTTTCGGACGTTACATTTAACTAAAACATTAATATTACTAAAACATCATCTTCAAGTGAAGTCAAAACAAATAACCGAACATACAAAACTATAAGCAACATGTCCTCTTATCGAAATACAAAGTATATAAGAGCTTAGTGAATATCTGGTGCCGCTTGATTTTGAATTAAAAGCAAAAATGATGCCGTTGGAATTGGTCGGTGGGTCCCATGCAAGAAAGAGTTTGTCAAAAATGTCAAGCTACAACGGCTGAAAAATCAATTTCTTTCCTCCAAAAAGGTCTTAGTTAAGACTTCGAATTCTCTCTTGAAAAAGTAGGTGCAATCAATCTCCAAGTACAATGCCATAAATGCAATTCTCTAGAATAATATCACTCAAACCCTAACAATCACAATCGAACAAACTCAATCAATTATCTACAAAGCCTACAATTCTCAAACTTCTCAAATACTTAAAAAGCATTAATTTCTTAGTACCTGCTTACATCACCCAAGAAATCTCCACACCTACTTAAAGAGCTCCTTTGAAACATAAATTACGCAATGAGATGTGAGAAATGTGGCAAACTTGTGATCAGATCTCGTTAATTCATTGGAATACCAAGATTTGACTGAATTAATATTTTGTTGATTTGAGAATATATACAAATAATTGATTTTGATCGGCTAATTCATTGATTCGTGAGAAAGATGAAATACGATCAATAAAAAAGTGGAGAAAGTCTCAAAAGTTCTTCAAACTTTTTATTAACCAAAACAGTCGAATGCTTCTGTCAACCATATAATTCTTTTGTTCAAAATAATATGAGAGTGGGACTTTATCGGGCCAAACAAGGGATTGATTATTGGATTGCCAAAATTGGAATGGTTTTCAAAACATGCGACTGCACAGGCCATTTGGGCTCGCGGTCGCATGGAGCACACCATAGCCACCCAAGGCCTATTGCCATGCGGCCGCATGGTTTTTGAAACCGCTGCTAGGATAGTGTTCAGATTTAAAATTGATAGCTTTTGGCTGAATTGTTGCATTTTTTCATGCTAAGTTAGAATTATTTTGAGATGTAATGATGAAAAACTATAAACACGTGACGGTTTTTCATATCAAACATGTTTTTAACATACAATCAATCTATATAATCTTTAAAGAATTATCATATTTCTATACATATTCATCGTCAAGTTTTCACTTTTTTATATTAAAAATACATTTTTTGCTTTGGTGCTTCACAAAAAGCTTGTTTAATCCTTCAAACTATTTGCCAGAAATTCTTAAAAAAATTGGAGAGGAGGCAAATATCATTTGAGGACAACGTTTGATCACGTGTTCAAGTCTTACAATTCCATTCCAAGTTTTGGCATTTCTTTCTTCATCTATTTTTCTCTCCATTATTGCAATATTTCCAACAATCCCAAACGATATTCCTACTGTGATGAAGACAGAAGCTATGTTTGCAACTATCAAATTGATGAACCAAGATTTGGTGCATTTGGATAGGTTTGATGGAACCAACTTCACCTCGACGGCAAGACAAACCCAAATTCCTCCTAACGGCATTAAAGATCTTCTACATGCTTGATCCAAGTTCGGAACCGACCACTGAAGCAACTAACGAAGATTCTAAAGAAGCACGGGTCGAGAGAAAGAAAAGAAAAGACGACGAGTTGATTTGTCGCCGTCACATTCTCAATACTCTTTCCAATCGATTGTACGATCTTTATACGAACACCAATTCAACAAAAGAAAATTTGGGATGCACTTGAAAACAAATATAAGGCCAAGGAGGAAGGTACCACTAAATTTTTAATTTCTAAATACTTTGATTTCAAAATGCTCGATAACATTCTTTAAGTATATTCTTAGACATTATAACTTGGTCCCCACCTAGCTAGTAGTGCCAAATGTATGGAGCTAATTAGCAGGGGTCTTTCTTCTTTGGAATGAGGTCACTATTGGCAAAGGTATGCCCTCGCACGTTTTCCAAACCCTTTTTCAACCCCGAACCTCTAGTGGGGAAAGTGACTACAAGGGGTGGTACTGTGTGAATCCCTGAGGTCCGCACTCTCCTTTCATTTGGGGGACCCCAACCTCCATAGAGAATTGGAAGTCCTCCTAGTTTTGGGTTAGGGGTTGCTGGCAGATGATAGAGGGAGATGCGGTCCCAGAGATCACCGTGCCAACCCAGTACCACGAGTATAGTGAGTCGAAACTTCATCTAGCATAACACTTCCCTTGTGCATTTGTTCCTTTACCTTAGTGTGTCTAATATTAGTTTTGTACAGCTGCAGTTAACCGATTCGAGCTCGAGCCGTCTGAGTGGAGTATTATAAAGGCCATTTACGAGCTGTCTTCAGAGAGTAGGTCTTTCAAAAAGGTCATCGGCAAGCGGAATCTTTTTGTTACACATAGGTTGATGGCTACTAAGGGTGAGGAAACTCTTAGCTATTATTCTTATCATGTGGAGTGTATCACTTTGGGCCTAACTGGTGACTCTTTGCCCTTTTTTTCTAGGTCAACACGATAAGAAAGAGTATGTCGAGCCGAACATGCTTTTTATGAGGCACCTAGGAGAGGCGAAAAACAAAAAGCCCTTGGGCTCCACTTCCTTAACTTATAAAAACCAGGGCGACGAGCTAGCCTGCCTCTCAAAGGTAAATCCACCACCTCCTCTAGAGAAAAACGGGAAAATAAGAGAATGGGAAAGAATGTGAAACTTCCCTGGAGAGGCCCCCCAAAAAGGAAGTTGGTTTTATCGAAGAATACTAAGTCTCTCTCTCTCTCCCCCCATCCCCCCCCCCCCAAGTGTCAAACAACCATTGGGGAGTCCCTACGACGGCCTATTATAGCAGAGCACAAATCCTCTGTGAAAAATGTGGATGTGGAAAAGGCAGCAGAAAAGGAGGTAGGCCTCGTTAAGCGGAGGTAGGGTAAGGAGGCCAAGAGCGCCCCCTTTGAAGGGAAGGCTCAAAACTTCCTTGGTGGGAGTTCGGACGAAATTGCATCTGTAGGTACGGAGATGCTCCCCATCGAGGTCCAAGGGGCTACGAAAGTCCACCACAAATATTGGATTGACTAGTATTCTTCATATGCCGAGACTTGCGATGCGGTGGATATGGTAAAGGTTGGGCTCACAATGCAGGCTTACTCTCAGAGCTTCTTTTTAAATACCTAAATGGAGGTGAGGCGGCTGTAGGGCCTCAACAAAGAGCACATTTAGAGGGCCAATGATGTAGAAGAGGCCCTAAAGAAAGCAAAGGCAAAGGCATCTTCCGTTATGAGGCTATTGAAGCTTCCAAGTTAAAGCAAGCTGAGACGGAGTCGAAGGTGGAAGCTTCCAAAGAAAATGATGACTTGAAAAAGGAAGTCCATCTTTACAAAGCTAAAGTGAACGCACTGACAAAGCAAATGGAGAATTCTGATAACCTTCAAAGGATTGCTTCGTCAGCCTTGGAGGCTCCTAATAAAAAGAATGGAGAGTTGAAGGCTCAAGTTGAAGAGCTGACTGCCAAGGAGGCTA